GGGGGGGGCGAGCAGAGCAGGGGCCCCACCATAAGATGCCCCGGGGTGAGGGAGCCAGGTTCCTGCTTTGGGGGGTTCGCCCGTGTATGTTAGGGTGGGGATCGTGTTCAACCTTATTCTGCAGAGCCAGGTGAGGGGAGTAAGCATGGGGCTTGGGGAATTGGAAAAAGGCGGAAAGTAGAGAAGTGTGTAGATGGAGTGTGTAGATGGAGGGGATTCAGTAATGAACAGCCAATTTAAGAAGCGCTTGGCATCAGAGATTCCAGGCGCCATCTCCACCACCCGCCTCTAGGTGGGCGCCTGAGGTCTTGGGCAGATGTGCAACGCTTGCTTCCAGGTGCATTCCTCCTCACCCCCAGGGTCCCTTGGGGGCCAGGGTTTGTAACTTGCATCAAGTTCCCAAGAGTCTATATTCTAGGGACGGTGTTGGGAGGCACTGCTGTTTACAAAGGACAACTCACTTCTTTCTTCCTTTGGTATTTTATTGAGTGTAAACGGTGCACTGTGCCCAGTATATGTGAAGGAAGTCCTCTGGTCCCTGCACAGCTCATTGCCTGGTCTATCAGTGGCCTAATATAGACTTGATTGCTTTCTCTCTAAATGCCAAGAGAAGCCTATTCTATTCCTCACCTCCAAATGTGAGCTCTGGATATCAGAGAAACAGTGGAGGACAGTCACTAATGTTCACTGTGGGGTACCTTCTGGCTCCCAAGCTTTGGAGACCACTTTCCAAACACAAGTGCTTCTGCCCCCTCCTCAATTATCCTTTCTTCCCACCATTCTGTTTTTTATTATTCAAACTGGACATTTTCTTTAGTGTGTAGTGTGGGGAGGAGAAAAATGAACAGAAAAAAAGTTTTGACAATTATTAGCCCCTTCAAGACAATTCAGTATACTTTGTTTTTCTTTAAATAGAAAATGCAATTACCAAAGAGCTGTTTGTAGGGAAGAACCTTACAGGTGATTTCACTTTTGTGCGCACCATCCATACTTGCCTTGTGGAGCTGTAAACATTGTAGTTATCCTTAAGGGAGTGGGAAGTTATTCTGTGGCCATGGAACTAAGTTCTGTGAGATGTATTTGGCTTCACTACCAACTGAAGCTTAGGATCAGTCATAGCAAGTCTAATGAAGTGTCCTGAGGTCAAGGAGTGTCCAGCTTTGAAGTTGTGAACTCTGCCCAGGGAACCACCTGTTGCTTGTTTTCTTTAGCCACCATGTAGTTTAATGATGGGCTCTTTCTGCTCTTTCTTAGAATGACTTTCCAACCAGGATGTCCCTTGTGGTTTGATGTTTTTGACACCTCTCTGGAAGACCAGAAATCAGATGCAGACTATGGGGACAAAATACAAATCCAAGAGCGAGCAGGCCCAAGACTTCCTCTGGCCACCACCTTGGAAGATTTGCTGATCTCTGCTTTGGCAAAGGATGGGAGATAGCCTTCAAGGGAGGCTGATTCAGAACCTCTATGCCCATCTAACTAATTTGAGAAATTTATCAAGAAACCAAGGACATGTGAGAACAGTGCCACAATCAGAGTGTCTCACCTGTCGAATTTGTCCTGCCCAACCTCCTCCCTCAGCAGAACCAGGACTCCATTTCCGACTCTGAAAGAGTGTTAGCCCTGGACTGCTCATCTCCAGAAATTGCCTATACCTACAGTATGCTTTTCTGTACCTCCTGTGCAGTGCTTAGAGACTGAAGAATTTATTACTACTATTAGAAAAAGGCCTTCTGCTGACAAGGGAAGATAGCTTCCAGGCAAAATATACCTTTTATCCCTATCACTTCCCAGTCACTAGTCAATGACTGTTGTCACACTAAAATCAAAAGGCCTTTGGTGAGCTCAGTGACAGTGACCTCTGGGACAATCACAGAAATGACTTCAATTTGCTGTCCTGAATGACAATTCTTGAGTGGCTAGGACAAAACAAAAGAGAGAATATCTTTTTGAAAAGCTGTCTAAGTGGTATTTCTTTCTCCATTCTGAGAACATAAATTGCTTTTTCTCTTTCTGCTGTACATGTCAATATCTGAGTCTTAGACATGAAGGGCTCATCTCTCCTTCCCCTCTTCTGGACTTTCCACAGGTTGGTGCCACACACAGAGCCCTGCCTCCCTCTGCACTCTGATTAGATTGTCATCAGGTGCCTTTTGATAAATGTTTAAAATACACTAATAAAGAGGAAAGGGAGAAAAAGAGAAAGCAGTAATGTAAATAGAAAAGAATAAGAAAGAATTTAAGAGGAAAATAGCACATTCTCTTATTATATTTTGGATGTGGGTCATTTTCCTCACAAATTCCACTCAGTCTTTTCTGGTTTTGTACTTCATTTACCATGAATTGTTTCTGCCATCTCAGTTCTTCATTCCAGGACATCAGGAATGTGGAATATGCATGTCTTGGCCTGACTAGGCTGCCACTATAGATGCTGTTGGGAGACGAGAGACATTGCTTTCTCAAGAAGGAGAGCTTCCTATTCCACCCTTGCCTAAGTGAAAGATTTTGCCTAAATCCTAAAGCTAGATTTCTCTGGATTTTGTAATTTGTATAGATTGCAAAAATGGCCACAAACCCTTTCTTTTTCATCAAGAGATGCAGTCATTTTTTTCCACCCCTTGAATCTGAAAGTTGGCCATTTGATTTGATCTGACCTGTGGCCCAATAGCAAACGTGACGCAAGCAGAGACTTGAAAAGATTTTGTGCATGGGGTTTGTCTTCTCTTGCTGCTCTTGGGAACCTTGCAACCACCACCAGGTGAAGAGCCTGTACTATCTTGCTGCATGATTAAAGAAAAGACCCCAATTATCCCTATTACCCTCTCTGTTAGCCTATCAACTCTCATCTGATTGTAAACATATGAATGCGTTCAGCCAATACCAGTAGAAGAACTGCCTTGCTGAATCCGGCCCAAATTTCTGATTCCTACTCAAGGCAAAAGAAGTTGATATACCCATATATTCATTTCTCTTCAAGGACAAGACTGACTTTTTCTTGTCCAAATGTTCATCCCTGAATCCCTTACCATTCAAACTTAGCTGTCTCACAGCCTCCACTTCCTTTGGCAGATTTTATCTGCACTTTTATGGTGGACTGCCTGGTTGGGGGTCAAATCACTGGAGGATCCTAATGCTTGAACCTTGCTGCCCCCAAATCCAGCATTCATTCCCTATATTTGGATCCATGGACACCTTTGATGGTTTCTTCATTATCTCCTTGGTCTTCTCCAGAGCCACCTGACTGGAGCAAGGCCCTATGCTCAGAAAACCATTCTGTTTGTATCCATTTGTACTTCATGACATCGTTCAAAAGAGTCCTATGTTTGCAATGAAATAAAGACGTGACTGGGTAAGGGTCAGAGGGATGCGCTGGCGTCTTTGCTTGGAGAGTTGGCCTACCGAAGGACTTCACAGTTGCTTTGGCTTGTCTCAGAGGAATCAGGAGGACAATTCAACCCAGTGCTGGTACTTCCAAGGGCTGGAAGACACAAGCCATAACCCTGGTGCTGAGTTTTATACTTGCTGGCGCCCCTGGCCTCTGAAAGCCTAGGTCTAGTCTGTCTGGACCCCAGTTCAGATGGAAAAGATGATTTTAAAGAGTTATTTCCTAGTCACCAGCTTTGGATTTCAACCTGCTTGGGCAGTTTTGGAGAATATTGGTTAGCAGCGGAAGCTGTTATCACTTATACTGAACACTGTGTCAGGCTTCTCAGCACCAAAGAGCCCCATAGCACCAGCTGCAGAGACCAGAAGTACTGCCTTTTTAAAGCCACAGGCATGTATGACTTTGGTGAAAGTTGAGGGTAGCAGTGGGAAAATTATTAAAATTGGAAACCTGCAATTCCAAAGTTAACAAAGCTACAGATAGACTAAAAATATGCAAGGAAGATAGCAGGCGACTGAAATAACCTGGGGGGTTGGGATCAGGTTGTCCTCTGTAGGGCTGCATAAATCACTCAAACTTCCAGGCTTTTAGTAGAGAGAAAAGGCAGTTGTTCCTGGGTCTATGGACAGGAGGGAGTAGGTAAGGCTCCCTATCCTCAGCACCCCTGACTTTTCTCTACATGTCCCTTTGTTTCTTCCTTGAATAGTGTGAACTGCATAGGAAGTGCTTATACATGTTAGCTTCTTTCCTAGGTTGTATTGGGGTACAGATAAGTCTTGTGTAAGATGTGGTCTCTGTCCTTTGGGACTCTGCAACTTAATAGGGGAGATAAGATGTGCTCTAGAAGAAATTAGATTGTATACATATAATATGAAATAGTGCTATGGATAAATTATAATAAACCCAGAGATTTAGTTTTTTTAATGTAAATGTGAATATTTTGCTATTTAAGTGTTGCGTGTGTTTGTTCATCCCATTTAAAGATGTGCTCAGTGATCTGAAAAGCCAATATTCAAGTCTGAACTGAAAAGTGACTTAGGATGGGGAAAAGAAGGAGGAGCAGCCGGTCAAGAGGGATGATGCATGAGCTGCTTCTTGCTTGTGAGTCACAACTGAGTCAGGGACTTGCTGGAGGAGGGTGTGTGGATGCAGGTGGCAGGGGGTGTCTCCTGGTGGATGAACCACTTCTCTAGGCCATGCATAGACTCTGTAGGAACTTGGGGGAAATGGCCACGGACCTGGTGATATATATCAGCTTTCCACCCAATCCCCTCGCTGGGGAGTTCACATCTGCTTCTCCAGGGACTCAGTTCTGTGGCTTTGAGTGTTGCTGTCCGCCTTCACCAATGCAGGGCAGGTCTCAGGGACGGTGGGCCTCTCATCACACTACTCACGATCTTCACTCTGCACTTGGCATGGGGCTGGGCACAGTGGGGATGGGAAAAAGCTGCCACCCAAACCCGAGGCACCTAGCCACAGGTATAAATATTTAGGAATATTTGGCAAAATTTCACATAGGTGATCTGATTCGATCTTAGGCAATCTTTGAGAGGCTGAAGTAACAGATGCTATTGTCATTCACTGCCTTCCCCCCCAGTTTTGGAACAGATGGAGAAGCCTCACTACCATTAGTGAAGTCACAAACCTAGTGGGTCTTTAGACTTCCAACCTGTAAGTCTTTTCTGCTAACTATTGTTTCCCCCAAATTGCCTAATCATAAGAATTAGATTGCTGGATAAAAAGGTTGTTGGGCCCCACCTTGGAGATGGATTGGGTGGATTTAGAGCCAGGACTCCTACATTTAATATACATTTCAGAAGAATCCTGTAATCAGATCCATTTGGAAAGTGTTGCACCTCTAGTGTACCCCCAAACAGCTGATTCTGAGGCTTCCTTGGGCTTTGGAATTTTTCTTTAAATGTCCTGGTGAGATTCCTCTCACTCCCCTGGGGCTGGCAGTGGTGAGGCACCCAGCAGTCTGGCTGTGACCCTGGTGACTGGCTCACCAGAGTATGGTAGTATGGGGCAGAGAAAACTGAAGCAAGAGAAAGGAGTGTTAGGAGCACTCCCCAGGAGCCTGTTGTAGATGTTTCCATTCCCAAAATAGTGGTCTGTTGTGACAATCTCAGATCAGACAACAAAAATGACAGGCAATTTTCTCATTCCCTTGATGCCATTCTGAGCAAAACTTGGATTATGACTAGAAGGAAAAGAGGCCATTGGAGAAATGACAAAACGAAATCATTTTTGGAAGCACACACATTATGAGCCTGGTTGGTCAATACCACTTTTACTTCAAGACCCAAAGTGAGTGGGAAAGAATAGTAAAATCTATTTTATAGTAAAATCAAGTTTAAATGTTTTTGAACTCTTACAGGCATTTGAAATTGCCTGATATGATGTAGAAATCCAAATTCACTATAATAGCGGCCCAGGTGCTTCAAGTCCTAGACGGTAAAAGTGCCTAGTTTTTTCCTGTCAGGATCCTATCTCCTAGTCACCTGGGAAACTGATCAATGAAGCTCGAAGTGAAGGACTTAACATCAGATTGGAGCAAGGATAAAGTTAAGTTACTTTAAGCAGTGGTCTAAGCTTTAGCACTGCTTGAGGGTGATATGATAAGGTTAAACTAATACCTATTTTTATTTTTATGGTATATTACTGTTTACAGACCACTTTCTCATGCACTATCTCATTTGATCCCAACATCAAACCCTGGGATAAAGGCAAGGCGGATGTTGTGGTCAATTATATGCAATGTAAAACAGGTTGAAAAAAACTTAAGTGATTTACAGTCAAAGGGCTTTTTAAATTATAGAACCAGGCCACTGATTGTCTAGGGTTCTTTCTGATTCCTGCAACACCCATGGGACTGGCATCTAACTTATTCTCTTCACAACCAAACATCTGGTGAGATGAGTCCTAGACTCAGTGCTGGCTCATATATTGTCGATGGGTGATGCTATGAAGACAAACACTGTTGCTGCTCCATCCAGCCAAGCACCATTCCTCAAATGCTGTTCTAAATGGAGTTGGCTTCACTCAAGGAGTTTCATTTCCATTAGTCATACTGTGAGTGGAAAAGGCTGTGATAAATATGCACTTCAGCTTTTGGGGGGAAGCCTTCTTGAAGATGGATTTCTAAATCCAACTACGGATTTATCGTGGACTCAGAATCCCAGGATTGGGAGCAGGAGCTGGTTAGGAACAAAATATCTGGCATCTCCACTGCATTTTGAGATGTTTAGGTAGAAACAAGAGTGGACCAGATATATATAGAGAAAAGGAATGTAAAGAGAAAGATGTAGCAGTTTAGCTAAAAGTTTTGTTAGAGTTTCTTGGTGGGACTGGATGTGATCTGACCTATTTCTTCTGAGAAGGCTAAAAGATACACAAATAAGCCGGGCTCAGTGGCTCAGCCTGTAATCCCAGTGCTTTGGGAGGCTGAGGTGAGTGGATTGCCTGAACCCGCGGGTTCGAGATCCGCCTTGGGCAACTTGGCGAGACCTCATCTCTACAATAAATCAAAAAATTAGCCGGGAGTGGTAGTGTGCGCCTGTAGTTCCAGCTACTTGGAAGGCTGAGGCAGAAGGATCGCTGGAACCCTTGGGTCGAGGCTGCGGTGGCCCAGGAGCAGCCACTGCACTCCAGTCTGGGTGACAGAGTGAGACTCCAACTCAAAAAAAAAAAAAAAAGATACACAAATAGCTTCTCTGTTACCTTGACTTTAAGGAAAAGTCACCTCATTAATAAAAATATTGGACTATATCACAGAATTAAGAACAAAGGAGTAGAGGAAATAGTGGGACAAAGAAGGGTCAGAAGTCAGCTTCAGGAGAACCACTTGTCCAGTTGTTTTTGTGCCTTATTTGTTACATCAAAGTTGAAATGTATCACTGTTGCCCATAATTTTTTTTTTTTTCAGTCTCAGATATACAAAGTAAATCTGGTTGTAATGTTTCAAACTAAATAAAGCATTCTCACCTACATGTGTTATCAAGAACTCATAATTAACACCAATATGGTTAATCATTATCTGACATTAAATGGCCTCAGCAAAAAAAAGAATCATAGAATACAGGCCTTCGTTAGATTGTTTTAAGTACCATAATAGAGGTATACATATAAAATAGAGGAATACATATTATGGGGTTTTAATAGGGGCAGGTTCTGACACAGCATGATGTATGTTTATAGATTTCAATAAGCTACAGTCTGAATAAATACTGTTGCCACTTTTATCACTCTCCAAAGACTGTCTAACATTTAGGAGGAGATGAGTAGGAAAGGTGATTGGACAAGGTGATAGTACCTAAATCATTTTCAAGAAGAGTACAAGCATGTGCTACAGCTTACGCTTGGGTAAGAGAAAAAGGAAGCTATTTGTGGGAGGATATTTTAAGTTCTGAAAAGACTTGAGAAATTATACAGCACCATAATTAAGGCAGTTGAAAAACTTTGTTACAAGGAAAAGAAGTGATAAATACTTCAGGGAACTATTAATCCTCTTCTGATAGCCAGATCCTGTCAAGGGAGTTCAGATTTTAGGGACCTGGTTGAATGGAAAACCTGTCCTTGTTTTAAGCATCTGGGCTCAATTCTTTTAGTGTTAATTTTAAAGTGCTAACATGTAGATTTAACGTAAAGATAGACTCTAAAACACTAACTCTGATTACTTCCCTAGGACTTTGTGCTATTTTTTTGTACAAAGTTTTAATTCCATTTTGCTTTTGTAGCTTCATAAAACATATTTTGTTTTTATTTATAAAGTATCTGTTTATAATCATCCACATTTTTTCTGTACATCTTTTCTTCACATATTTTAGATTTTCCTTTTGAAATCTTTTCTTTCTGAAGGAAATTTACTTTAGTGATGATCTGTTGGTAGGATACACTTTTAAGTTTTTGTTGATTCAAAAAGTCTTTATTCCATTCTTATTCTTGAAAGATAATGTCACTGGTATTACGATGCTAGACTGATAGTTTTCTCTTAGCACCTTAAAGTTATTATTCCATTCCCTTCTGACTTCTGTAGTTGCTTCTGAGAAGTCAGTTACTGACTTAATTATTCTTTCTTTGTAAGTAATGTTGCTTTGGCTGTTTTTTTTTTTTTTTTGAGTTGGAGTCTCACTCTGTCGCCCAGACTGGAGTGCAGTGGCCGCTCCCGGCCACCGCAGCCTCGACCTGCTGGGCTCCGGCGATCCTTCCGCCTCAGCCTTCCGAGTAGCCGGAATTACAGGCATGCGCTACCACACCCGGCTGATTTTTTTGATTTATTGAAGATGAGGTCTCACTGCCCAGGCGGGTCTCGAACCCGCGGGCTCAGGCAATCCACTCACCTCAGCCTCCCAAAGGCGCGGGATTACAGGCTGAGCCACCGAGCCCGGCGCTTTGGCTGTTTTAAAGATTTTCTTTTTGTCTCTAATATTCTTTGGTTTAATTAACATGTGATCAGATGTGGATTTCTTTTTTTATCCAGATTGGTATTTGCTGTGCTTCCTATATCTGTGGATTTGATTTTCCATCACATATGAAACACTCTCAGCTATTACACATCAAATATTTCCTCTTCTCTTTAAAATCTCTTTTGAGAATTTTAATGTTAAATGTTTTTGTAAAGGAGCTACAACCCCCACTCACCCCTCCTCACTCCTTCCCTGCTTGCTTAAGCGATGTTTTGTTTTTGCTGCCAACACCTGCGTCCTCAAGGTTACATGACCAACCAGCACCAGCCTGCTTCCTCAAGGCCACATCTCAGGGGCTGTGTGATCACCAGCAACAGCCTGCTTCCTCAAGGCCACATCTTGGGGCTATGTGACCACCAGCATCTGCTTCCACAGGACTACATGTGATATGTGACCACCAGACCCCAGCTAGGGGGTATAAAAGGGCCCCACAAAAAAGAACAAGCTGCTGGTTCTTCTTTAGGGCCAGTCATTCTTTCCTTTCCCTCTAATAAATTTTCTTTACAGCACTCAGCTCATTCTCTTTTTCTCCACACTTGCCTGATACTTTTCATGCTATCTTTCATATTGCTTAATTTATCTTTTTGTATTTTTCTATCTTGTTGTCTTCTGTACCCTAGTCTAGATAATTTCTTTGACTTTATCTTTCAGTTCACTAATTTTCTCTTCAGCTGACTCTAATCTCCTTTCTTTGAGTTTTAATCTTAATTAATATATTTTTAGTTTCTAGAAGTTCAATTGAGTTATTTTTTAAATCTACATAGTCTTTTGTTAACTTTTAATTTTTTTATTTTAAAGATGTGGCATACAGTTCAGGGTTAGGTATACAAATGTTCATTATGCTGGTCCCCTTGTTGATGAGGTGTGCCCCTGCTTCCCCAGGCAGATTCCCATTATTGCCAATCCCACCTCCCCACCCTCTCACACCCCTGCAGTTTTCCGCTACTGCCAATCCTTTTTTTATAGCATTATTCTAGTTGTTCAAGGCCCACTTATGAGTGAGAACATGTGATACTCAGTTCTTTGTTTCTGTGAAAGATCACTCAGCTGTGAAGTTTATGAAGTCATTGTTGATAGTATCTTACTGCTTACTCTTATACACAATTCTCTCTTATTTCTCTTCTTTGAATATATCAAACATGCTAATTTAAAATTTTATAGCCATTAATTCCCATATCTATATTCTTTGTGGGTCTAATTTTGGAGTTTGTTACTTCTGCTAACTCTTACTCATAGTTTTTGTTTCCTTATGTGTTTTAAAGTTTTGTATTGTGAGCTCAAGTTTGGTGGAATGCCATATTAATTACATTGTGCTGGTCAAGAAAGACCTTTCGTACTCCTTATTTGCCTTCCCTCTCTCCAAAATACTTCCACATATCCACTGAATCCTGTTTCCGGAGGGCTCAAGAGGAATGACTGATTGAATAAAGATGGAGTAGATATGCTGGGTAGAAAAATAAAAAATAAAAAAGCACATACATGCATTTCTTGCTAATGGAAGCTCTAGTCTGGAAAAAAAAAGCTTAAGATGGGGACAAGAATCTTTAGATTTATATATTGTTGAGACATACGCCTTTTTGAGGGTCTAAAAGTGAACAGAAGGCCCTTAATTGTTAAAAGTAGCCAAAGAAATTATGGAACTATATTCCATTCAAGAAGCAAATACAAACTAGATTCATAAAATGAATTAAAATTAGGCAAAACAAAATAATTAATTTTTTCCTCACAATTGTCTAATTCTAATGCAGATCTGTATATACTTTTAATTCAAGAAATAAGAAGTAGGCTAATTACAGATTATCTTGGGAAATCTTGACAGAGACATCCTAATAATATTCATCACACCACTTAGGTGAAAGTTATATTTTCTGCTGAATTGATTATAAGCTTTTCCGGAATGTTTATCAGGTGCCCTAAAATGACTCATCAGATGTAACAGCTAGCAAATCACTCAAAAGTGACTGTATTAGTCTGACACGCCACCTAGTGGCATTCATCCAAGAGAATGACTCCATTGCTAATTTTCCTAATACTCAAAAGTATTAGGTAGAAGTGTGCTTCACATTAGTTGAGATGTATTTTTTTTAAAGTATATATGAATCCATTTTTGGAAAAACAAATTAAGCACATTGAAGTTCTTTATTTAGAAATGGTGAGGGGTTTTTTGTATGTTTTATAACTTGCCATATTAAAATTTCAGGGCAGTCTTTTGTGGGTACCACGTGGGGAAAAACCTCATATTTTTCCTTGGGACCCAGTGGGAATTAGGCACATGGCTTTCTTGATTTAAAGCTATTTTAAAGTGTGCTTTTAACATCACTGATTTCAAATACTTTCTGAAGTCAGGTCAGGACTATGATTCTGCAGAATTATAGTGAAGCCAGTTTCTCTTTAACAGACAAAAACTGTGTCATGAAACTGTACTCTGAAAGGACCTAATTTGTCCATTTCCTGGTCTTTGGCTGTACAAAGAAGAATCCATCTCTCTTCCTCTTGTTCTCATTCTCATTGTCTCTTAAAAAAAAAGCAGAGGAGAAAACTCCACAGCCTCATATTAAAACACTTTTTAAAAAAACAATCCTTGTTCTCAGGAGATTTAAAAAAATATTTTGTCACATAGTTTGTGTAGCAGCATAGTGTCAATGGATTCTTCCTGGCTCCTTTTCCCCTGAGATGCCAGCCTCCAGTAGAGCAAAGCTGGAGGGACATGTATGTAAATTTCTGTTTAACATTGTTCTTAGAAAAGCCCTTTGTTCAACTGAATGAAATTCATTTATAACAGACATTAATGCCCCCGCCCAGCCTCTCAGTGTTGCTAGTAAGC